ACGCTTTCACTACTTAATAGAAGTGGTAGAGTGCAAGGCGGTATACCATGCCCACCACCGGAAACATTTTTCCTATCTGTACAGATAACGGTTTGACGCTGTGGCAAGGCATCAAGTTATATGTTATTATTTTGTGTGGGTAGAGCACGTAGGGCTGCGAACCGTGTCTGCCGATGTTTTTCGAAAGTCTTACGTACCTTGTGGGGCCTCTGTGTGCATTTCAGTCAAATCCAGAGCAGCTGTAGTTGACACAGACTATTTGACAACCGAACCTCGCCTGGCTAACTAGTTCACTAGTTACTAGCCAATCCTAAGCCCGGATAAAGTGGGAAGGTTGGGCATGGCGCTAGCAAGCCTACCACCTAAAACCAATCCAATCGCTAAAGAAACTTCCAAACACAAAATATAAAAAATAAAAATGAACTTATTCCTCGCTGGAATCAGAGAGACGAAATGACGCCGGTTGGTGAAAGCCTGCCTTCGGGAAGCCAATTGACTAATATGTCTTCTCTCGATGAAAGCGGAAATAGAGATGGGGACATGGAATGTCCGCACCATGTATGAACCTAGCAAGGCTGCCCAGATTGCAAAAGAGATGAGAAAGTATGACATAGAAGTGCTTGAAATCTGCCAGGGATAAGCAGATGGAATGAAAGTGAACTCTCCAAACTGTCAACTGGAGAATCAATAATCTACTCCGATATTGTGACCCAGACGACAACCACGAGCACACTGAGTTTTGGAGTGGCTGTCATGATATCCCCAAGAACATCGAAGGTTCTCATGTTGTGGGAACCAGTCTCCTCCAGGATCAAGACAGCAAGATTCAACTGAATAGGAAGGAAAGTCACAATCGTGCAATGCTACTCTGTGCTATGCACGTACAAATAATGCAGATCGAGGATGAGGGGGGAGTTCTGTAGACGACTGCAATCAGTACTAGACAAGATTCCAGTTGGTGACATCAAAATTCTAATGGGCGACATGAATGCCAAACTGCAGGGAGAGGACAGCACAGGAATGGAACTCATCATGATTCCAGAAGCATTCGACCTCGCGTGGAGTACAAAGGGAAGACGACGAGTTGGGCGTCCTAGGTGGGGGTGACGCGCAGGAGATCAGGTGAGGAAGAAATGAAGGGTTGTTGGCAGTAGTGGAGCCAAGTTGAAAGGATTGCAGGGAACAGAGGGCTAGGAAGACATGCCACCGAAGCCGCATGTTCCGCTGGGAACCGAAGGGAAAAATAATTACGTAATAATAATAATAATTTGACAGCCGAAATGTAGAGTTGTGGCGTTCTCAGATGTTTCGCAGATGACCTGGGCAACTGCTATAAAAGTACCTGAAACTCAACACACACATCCGACGAGAATTTTTATTTACCTCCACCTGCACTCATTCGCTCCCAGTCGGAAATCCTATCTACAGCAGGACTCAAGAAGGTATCCGTGAGCACCATACCCAACGAGATTCTATCGTGTCTGCACATTCTGAACTCACCGATTACAACATGTTTGTCTGACAAATCCGGAAACGGCCAGTTGTTTTAGGAGCACTGGAACTCTGAGGACTGATATTTTATTTTGTGTGGATCGCACTTCAACATTTAATATTAAAGGTGCACTGAGTGCTATGGAAATGAACAAGGGTGAGGTAGTCCCCCGGTACTTCAAAGCGTGTTGATACGCATTGCATCTTTTCTTACCAACTCTCCAGTCGCGTTAGATACGAGCGACAGGTGTTCCACTTTGGTGTTCCTAGTGGCAAATGTGGAAGGGGGAGGTGACAACGTTTGGTAGATATCGTCACGTAGGTTTCTGAGTAGGTTGTGGCGTCATTAGCAAAGTAGTGAATGGGTTCAGTGGTATGAAAGGAGGGCAGTAAAAGACCTAGTTTGCGCATTCACGCTTCCAGAAATGCGGTAGTTTTGAGGTGCGAGGCGGCCGACCTATGAGTTGTACGATGTGTTAGACTCAGTATTTACACTACCTCCTGGATCCCCAGTCTCAAACCAGTATTTATTAACTGTGATCTCTCCGGGCTTTCACATTCTACTTCCCACCATAATTTATTAGGAGTTTAGCATGAGCATGACTTAGAGTCCTCTCTTGCGATTTACGAACCATATCCTTCCTGGTTTCCCTTGATGTTCCCCTTGAATCTTTCTTAAGATTCTGTAAGAGACTTTGCTGTACTGTATGGGGCTTTAAAGATCATTAGCAGGACCGGTGGCGTACCTCCGACCCGTCTATTTGACATATTTGTGAACAGGTTCATTACCTGATGCACATGAGTCGCAAGATTTATTTTATCGGACGACCAGTATCATTTTCACTCGAAATCTTTTACACGTCGGTTCTCGGGTAGAATTAGGGGTAAGTGCACAAGACTTTATGCTAGTGCTATTTAATGTAAAAACTCTACTACAGTTTATTTAACTCATTTCCCATGGGAGGAGGGAAGCAATAGAAATGACTAAATCATTCAGCTTTAAATATTAAGTGAAGTAAAAGTTATACCGCATGCTGATGGGTTCATGACTTACCTAAGCCTCCCGTTAGCCATAAAACACAGAGAATGGACAGCACGTCAAATGGTTTGGCTATATGTGGGTTGGCCATGGCTTGTAGTAGTGTAATCAAAAAGTCAAGGTGACAAGTCGCGCGTGGGTCTGGCTGGGAGTAAGGGTGTCTTTTTAGATATCATTGCATGTGTCCTTTCTATAACTGCTCCAGTTGCGAGAACTGGCTGTCAAGTACTTACCAGGACACGTCATTCGGAACTTCCCGGTCAGCAAATACCTCCTTCCAGGACTTTTCATTGGTAGCAAAAATCTACACCAACCCTTGGCCGTTTTGGAACGGCACTCACATCCCGATTTGAAACCTAAACCATGGTGGCCCCCGCACACTCAACATTCTTACAGTAACCAAACAAGCTTTGTTCAGACTAATTTAAGGGAATCATCCCTAAAATTCGGTCACTTCTTACCGCATGTTCATGGTCAATTTGTTGTCCATGATGAGACTTTACCGTACTCAGTCAACTTCCCGATCACAGTGACCACAACAGTGAGAGCTATAAATGAAGTATGGCACTTATACGCTTCATATCACCCACTTCATCATATGCTTGAGCTCAACTAATACGAATCTTTGAGGCAACACCTAGAAGTTATGATTTAGACGTGGCCGGACGGACGTCAAACGGCTCAAATAGCTCGAATGGTGGTTGACGGAAAAGAAGAAGCATTCACTTGACCGGTCTCCACGTTTATAATACGTTGATCTCTACTCTTTCTGGCTGTTAACCTGTGTGCAAGCAAAGAGAGGTTAAAGTAGCAGTTAAAATGTGAAAATTCAATTAGTTCTGGTTAGATCCCACCTTTACATCAAATAGGTATCCAGTTGGCTTTTAAAGGGTTCAGACGAAGTAGCCTGGATCACATCTTGGAAGAGAGCATTCCAGGGTTTAAAAACTCTTAGGGGATATAAGTTGTGCCTGATATCTAACTTGCTATGTCCCAGATCTAGTTTCCGTATATGTCCTCTAAGATTGGTGCCACAGCTAAGATTCAGTAAGTGACGGGGTGGGCGTCCAGGCGTGCCGACGGTGTTGTGGGCCATTATCAGGTCTCTTCTTATCCTTCTGTATTCCAGAGGATGCGGATCCAGCACAACCAGTCTTTCTTCGTGTGTTTTAGACTTAAGTCCTCAAACAGATTTTGTCGAGCGCCTCTGAATGCACTCTAAGCTTAATTTGTCCTCCCGCCGAGAAAGGGGCAAGACGATTGACCTAAGCTCGGGGTGAGGCCGTATGAAGCCGTTGAAAGTTCGGCGGAAGCACCTACGATCGCACCGTCAGAAAATTTGTCTAAGAGTTACTAACGCCAGGTTTCTATGAAATGCGTTTCTGTCACAGTTGGCATATGACTTTGAGCCTTGAGGGACTAAAACGCCTAACTACTTCTCTGTCAGCGGTGCCTCAAGCCCCATACTACTGAAACTATATGCATGAGATGCATCGCGTTCTACGTCTACCACTCTGCATTTTCCCAGGATTACATGCTATACTGTTATCGACTGCCCAGTTTTGAAGTTGAGTTAAATCTTCCTGCGGCGAAACACTGTCTTCCTAACTTCTGACTTCTCCCCATAGTTTCATGTCGTCGGCAAAAAGAGGGATTTCGGAATAAACCTGTTGAGTCAAGTCGTTTATGTATATTAAAACAAGAAGAGGCTCAAGTATTGAACCCTATGGAATACCACTAGGACATTCGGTTTCTTCCGACATAGAGAAACCCAAACTCCAAATGAACGGCCTCGCAGATATGAAGGCAACCGGTCGGTGAGCGGCAGTCGTATTCCGATTAATTTCGATTTATCAACAAGGCAGTGGTGACTAACACGACCAAACACTTTAGCAAAGTCCAGGTAGATAACATCAGTTCGTCTTGGACGGTCAGCAGTGTTAGTCCATCTCTCCACTTCAGTGAGCAGATTAGTAATTCAGGAGTATCCTTTTAGAAATCCATGTTATTGCGGCATAGAGAAGTTGATCACTATGAGGTAATTTCTCAGCCGACCGCAGATTAGCAATTTCATTACTTTGGAAAGAACGGATAGAAGTGTCACCGGTCTTTAGGTCTTCGGATCGCTTCGTTGACCCCCTTTAAAGATTGGCGTTATGTACCCGTGACTTTTACTCACTAAGAGTAGCTAAGGCTTGAATTCCTCTTCATATAGAGGATGTTCATGTCGCACCACAAGAGTCTTCAAGCACAAACTCAATGTTCACTTGAGGTCATAGAATGAGTCTACAAACGAAGTTACCAATAACCTGCCGATAATTTCACAAAAAATACAGTTTTCCTTCACACCTAGATTCCCAGATATAGGAACTATCAATCAGCTGATCCTAAAGGTGGAAGTCAGCTAAGCGAAAGCTTCTTCAATCTCACCAACAACTGTTTGAAACCTGAATAACCTTCGACCTTGTTTAAACCGTTCAGGAAGTCGGTGGGGTTTAGACTTGTGGATTTACAAGTATCTAGTTACTGTAGTTGGGGCATCATATGTTTTCTTCGATCAAGTTAGACATCCTGCACCCTGATTACTTGTGTGACTTAATCCGGAAAATGCCTGAGGTGGAAGTATGTGGAGCTAAAAAGACTACTATGTTGTTGCGGAATGATTCCACTCTACAAGACTTACCGGATTCACATAGAGATAGAATCCGATACTTGCTAAATGAAGCTCTTCAAGGGAAATTTCGTACTTCTGGTCAAGGACTGTTACCTGGTAATAAGGAAGATTTGGATGCTATCGAGAAGAAAAAGAAAGTAGCCAGGTCTGTATTTGATGAAATGATTCAGTATGGTAAAAGACTACTGGAATGTATAAGAATCCTAAGGGTTTGTTAGAAATATGTGCCTACTTATTGTACGCTTTTAGGATGTCAACAACGCAATTTCAAATGATACGTCATTGAAATACAACACTGTGGTAAAAGGAATGTTTAAGGACATACCTTCTTTGTTCAAACTCCATGAACACTTGACTGAAAGCTTTGACTTATGTAGCCCTGGGAACATAGAGCTACCATCCGCTTTCACTAGTGACAAGGAAATGCAGATTTTGAACATATACAAGAGCTTCCTTTGCCGCTATGCTGTGAATTTTCGCGCTTTTTCTGAGCTGTATTCTACTAATGAAGAACTCCAAGATATATGCAAAGGTATCGTTGTAAGTTAGTTTATTAGAATTTTCCCTCATGCTTGCCTTGTCTTTTTGGTACGTCACTCCTTGACTTCGCTAGTTAGATCATTCGTGTAGATGTAGATGGTGGTTGAGAAGAATTAATCATTCACAGCATATTGAGTAGCCTTTTTTTAAACCTTTTTTTAGCGCTTTTTGCCAATTAAGATTTCTTAAGGAGGGTTAGGGATTTTCCCCAACTATTTTTCTTGTAATAAGAACTCTTACGGTATTTTCCATTCCCATTTGCTTGTGTGGCTTTTCATTCTTTCATTACCACTAAACACAGTGTTCGGTCTTCACTTAACAAACTTAAGTTATTGCGGGACTTCTGTTACTGACATACGTGTCCATATATTAAGTTTTAATTGACCTATTAACAAAGGCCCATCAACGGTAATAAGTCAAGTGATGGTGGCAACTTTCTTTGACTGATACTTTTTGACTCAACGGTTAGATCTTCCGCTCTAATGCTTGAAAAGATAAATCTTCAAAGTGACTCAAGTGGATAGTTAGCACATAAAGTTTCAAAGTGACTCAGTTATCTACATCATGAAAACCAGTTGAATATACACCACAGCCTTGCATTATTTACTACTATACTACTGTCTTCCCTAAAGTGGGCCTAAAACCACTTAATCTTTATTTACCAGTCACTTCAAAAAAGCTTCTGTCTGGTGTAGTGAAGACTCAGATGATTGATTATAAATATACAGAGTTTGATCTTTTGAGACAAATTATAGTTCGTTCCTGCTGGTTGAACATTTTAAATGATGAATGTTGTGAAAATGCCCTACAGAGACAAACAACATACGATAATGGTGAAACGTGGAGTCACTGACTATCAGTCATAGTTGCGTGGCTAAAGTCTTCAAAATGCAAGGAATCAGTTTGTACGCCGTGATAGCACAGGTGTTTTCTCGCTTTATGATCTTCAAAATCTTGTAACATTATGAGGCTTCGAACATTGTACCAAGTCTATATTTATCATCTCTTATGCACTCCTATTTCAATATAACTCTTTTACTGCATATTTTATTTTCAATGCTGTTATGAAGCGTGGTACTTTAATCTGGTGCACTGCTGTGAGTTTCTCTAACTACCTGTCTCTCGTCCTCTCTAGCTGTATTTCTGTCTCCTCGTGAAACTAAGAGTACAGTTTGAATAAATTTTATTAGAGGTACATGGACTTCCTTGAAATGAAAATAATCATGACTATCAACTTATTTTTTCATGAAACCATGTTGACAATTCAAACTCTAAAACATTCATAGAACGCTCTTCCAAGCATTAAAATACCCTATCTTACAAGATTTATAACCAACCACTCGACTTTTTGTCGTTTCATCATTGTTATTTTTACACGAGCTATATTTGTTTTGGGTCATCAATTTCAAGTTCATATTCATGTGTATCGATCAAAAAGGGCATACATGTATCTCCTCTTTGACGTCTTCTAAAGCTTAAACATTTTCATTTACCTTTATCTTCAAACTGTTTCTCCTCTCATACACGTATCTACTGCAATATCAGTCTTTTTCTATCCATTTGTTATTTGAAGGCTGCTACTAAGCGTGGCAACTTGAACCCATATACTTCTGTATGAAGTTCTACTGTTATTTTTCATACATCTGTCTAATGTGTATCCTCGTTTCATTCAGCTGTTTGTCATGGCGAGATCAAGAGATGGAGAAGGCATCAGTATTAAGTAATACTCGGTAACTATTCATGCCTCAAGGATACTGGCAAAAAGATTATTAGTGAGATTATCGCGGAAAAGATTGGACCCTCAATAGCCTTCCGCTTCCGTAAGAGATAGCTAAAACACCGAAATAGCTCAACTAGCCTACAGCCAAGCTTCAGATGCACAGTATTCATCTCGAACCTGAATGGAATGCAGGTGTCAGTCCTCAAACTTCTTGAAGTTGAGAAAGCCATTTTAAGCCTGAAACTATGCAAAGAATCAGGACCTTGACTATTTGCGAAAATAACATGAGCAACAGCTGCCTTCGCTCACTCAATACTGAAGATCAGATAGCCAGAAAGAATAAGCAACAAGGAACTCTGGGAACGAACCAAACGAGGACCCATCACTCAAAAATATGCAGAAGAAAGTGGAGATGGATTGGGCATACACTGAGAAGGCCGACTGCGGAGATCACGCGCCAGGCCGTCAAGTGGAATCCAAAGGGGGAACGACGAGTTGGGCGTCTGAGGGTGACATGGAGATTTTGTGAGGAAGAAATAAAAGGTTGTGGGCAGTCGTGGCGCCAGGTTCAAAAGACTGTAGAGAACAGTGGAATGGAGGTGTGCTACTGAAGTCCTATGTTCCACTAGGAAAACAAGGGACAAATAACAATAAAAAATAGTAATGAAGTTGGATACAGAGTACAAGACGAGGAAGAAAACTTACATCAACTTTTAAGTGTCACACTAACCGAAAAAGGATTGAGTTGGAAGGAAGCTGAATAACAGATGATATCATGTCGGCAATCCACAGAGTCTGAGACTTGATCAATGGGGTAAGCTGATATCTGTCTAAGATTCGTGTAATGATAGGAATCAGTTTGATTTTCTGCTACATGACTTAAAATCCATCACCTGCTCAGAACATATCGTGGTCAACAACAGTCGAATTACTGATATTAGTGAATGACTCAGTGCTTGATTCCATCAAAGATCAATTCTACCATGACATTCTCAGTGGGATATATATATATATATATATATATATATATATATATATATATATATATATATATATATATATATATATATATATATATATATATATATATATATATATATATATATATATATATATATATACCTCTCCTCAGCACCAGTTTCGGCATTTTGCTCTATGACGGGAAAGGGAATATTAAACTGAAAACGCACTAGATAAGTTTGTTTTCTATAACATATTGCTACAGTTTTACTTACTGAATGGCATCTTGAATACAATTTCCCGCATAATCATATCAATGTGATAAACTAATCTCATGTAGAATTTCAGTATGGAGCTGTGGCGCATAGATTTAAGGAAATGACTTTCAACCAGTGGGTCATGGGTTCTGGCTCCGTCCCACCTACAGAGATTTGGACAGTCAGGTAGTATCATTAGTCCTCACACAATAAGTATGGCTCATTGTCTACTGCACGAGTGTACAGGTTTCTGAGTTTCCTTTTAATGGAATCACACTCCGCCACTGTGTCTAATTTATATACTAACAGTAGTACTCCATGTTTAACCACTGATGGCTGAGATATGACGTAGATTTTACAGAAGAGACCGATAACAAAATCCAGACTCATGTACTAGGTTATTAGAATACATATTTCGCAAAGCAAATGTTTCAAACTTGGTAGACGGTAGGTTCATATCAGTCGCCCACTTAAAGTTGAATCCCCAAAAAACTTGACAGAATCTCCAAATTGTGGTATCTGCCAGGTAAGTTGGCTATTACTATTCTGGTTCAAGTCCTCCACAGATACGTTGTTGAAGATAACGGCTTGGGAGTAGTTGATCTCGTGCATACAAATTATCTCAAAGCAGTACTCCGGTGACACACTTTAATTGAGCACACCATGATAAGTTTGCATAGTCTACAATGCAACTTGAGCGAACGTCTTTGGTTGTTTGGCATGCGATTCCCACTTTTCGAATTCAAGATGTTGTTCTGGGACTGATCTGCATGTATACCTAGTTTACGAATAGTTAGTAGAGCCCAATAATCCCTTCACTTGAAATAATCCGTCAGTCCTAATTGACAATTAAGAAAAGCTTGCTTGGCTTTTGCCATCTTGTACCATCTATAGCAAAAGCAAGATATGAAAATACCTTTTATTACTGACTACTGTTTTGTTGGTTATTCACTCAATACCTACTTTTTGTTCATTTTAACATTTTCCTGTCATGTCGATGTTCATCTTTTTTTGCTGTTTGGAATTGTAATGCTTTGTGCAGTGTTTTAAGTTGTTATTTGTGTCTGAGAAGGAAATCACCCTCGACCAGTTCTACTTAAGTGTACGTCACAGCCTCATTATTCATCAATGCACAGTTTTACAGAGGATTTATGTCTTGGAGACAAGTTGGGGTTGTAGTAATCTCCTTCGTTCCAATCGACCGCAGTTTTTATGTTGCAAAGGATAAATCCCGCCATGATCTGTCATTTTCGCTGCAGGAAAGAAAACGTCAAGATATAATCATGAAGGAAAGTGATTTTTCCGCTCGGGTAGGGAAGCTGAGCTAGTCAGAAAGGTATATTGGGGGGTTTTACGAAATCCTATGCCAACGCAGTCATTGTTGGTTGTCTGTTGCACTATTGTTCTGACTGATTTCTGGTCAGCGCTAACTTCAAGCATAGTAAGTGATACCGTCTCACATGGTGTCTGCCGACATCAAACCATCAGTGGACACAGACATATCATATTGCTATAAACCATCGTTGGAGAAAATCGGTGGAGGATTGCCACTCTTTCTGGTGTAATTGTTTGGGCTTCGATCCGGCATTGGTACATGCATGTGTATGTCTGCTCATTGCTGTTCGTACGAAGCAGGTGACAGTAAAGCCTTTCTGTGCTCGATTGAAAGATAATAACATCAACCACACATTTAGGAAGGAGATAGGTAAGCATTTGTCTGAATGTGACAGCAATCCTCTTACTGATGAAGCCTGGAGTGACCACGTTTATTATAGGAACAGTGGTAGAGACAGTTGGTAACGTACATTCGAAGGTCAACAAACATCAGTGGAATTTTGCAACTTCATCCAAACTGATTGATGCGTGAAGACTCACTGCAGTAGGCTCTGACCACAAAGAAGAGCGAGAGAAACTCAAACATATCTTGACCAAGAGTCCTCACAATGATAGAAAAAGTCCCATTTCGATATTTCTTCATAATGATCTCAAGCATTAGTGGGTGGCGAGAGCAGGATAGGTGAAGGTATCAGCCTTTGGTAACACCTGACAGCTATTTCGTCTTATTAAGGATACTACTGAGAAGATGGTGGGTTGTGAAACTATCACCGAAAACAATGAGACGCTGATAACGTCTCAGGATAGGTGGCTAACATGTTGGGTGGAACACTTTGAAACAAATTTCAGCTGGCTCTCAGCAACGTTTCAGTTACACAATATACAACCCGAACCTGAATAGGACGTATATATCAGTCCTCCAACTCTTCGAAGTTGAGAAGACTGTATCGAACCTGGAACAATGCAAGGCAGTAGGATCTGACAGTTTGCCACCTAAAGTTTTCAAGGATGGAGGTAGGAAATCGCTACTTAAAGTGATGAAGGTACTAGGTAGTGTATGGGAGTCAGAGGTAGTGGCGTCAGACTAGTCTACTCTGTTGATCACTCCAGTCTATAAGGTGGAGAAGTCTTCCTGTGACTACCATAGGGAGATTAATTAGACCAGTACTGTGTTCCAAGGTCCTGAGGTGGATAGTTATCCAACCCCTAACTCTAGAGCTTGAGATCAGCAAAACTCGTGAAAACCAGGCAGGTTTCAGACACATCTGGACCAGATACCATCGACCAAATTATTATCCTGTGACAGGCTATAGTACACAGGCGTACTTATGGGCAGCCGACATTTGCAATACTTCTTGACCTGATGAGGGCAGTGGACAGTTTTGACCGTGTTGTGGCAGTGTCTGACTGTGAAGAGATTTCCAATTACTTACGTACCGCTAATCAAAGCTCTTTTTTCTAACTCACGTCGGTGTGTTAGAGCTTATCGAAGGTTGTCATATGGATTGACAACAGCCAATTGAGATACCAACTGTCGCCGCTTCTGTTTATCTTCGTTATCGATGTGTCAACGGACATAAACTTGAGTATCTCTGACTTCACATGGATAGATCTACTCCCTAGAGGTCATCTGGTTGACTTGGAGTGCACTGAAGATATTGTCTTTTTAGGAGAAGACATTGAAAAAGTGCAGGGTCTTCTGAACACGTTGAGCAGAAACATGAGTATGTTTGTCATGCGTTCTTCACCTGTCAGATGTAGGATGATGCTTCAAGACGGGTTTGCAACTACTCCCAGTTTAGTGATAGAGAGTCAAGTGGTTTAAGGCGTCGACCACTTCACTTAATTAGGGCGTTGCATCAACCCGAACGGACTGCTTTCTGACGAAATTTTATCTCGGATACAAAAGGCCCGTTTGGAATTTTCCAGCTTACGTCATCTGCAGTGCCGACTGGTGAGATATCTGACTATCTATCAAATGACGAGTATACTGCGCCACAGTCCGTTTCCTTATGTCATACAACCACGAGACTTGGGCGTTAAAAATAGAAAATATGAAGCGATCGCTGGTTTTCGGTCACAGGTGTCTTCGTAGTATTGTGCGCGTTTGGTGGAATCACCGTGTGGGCAATGTTGAGGTCAAACGTTGGGTACTACTAGGCAATACGGGCAGTTCGATGAATGAGGTTGTGAACTCGCCGTCGACTAAAGTGGCTTGGACATGTGATGGGCATGCCGAGCCATCTCCTACCTCAACGTGCCATACTCGGCGAAGTTTGATAAGTTGGAAGAAGGATCATCGTGGTCAGGCTAAGACGTACGAGTCTATCAAGTCTCTGTGTCTTGACCTGAGCCGTGTTGGGAGTGTAAACTACTTGACTGGGGTTGCTAAGACGATATGAATCAGTGGTTGAGGACTTGTGGTGACATTTCTGAAAACCCGTCACAGTGTCGCAGATGTATTCACTCTTTGACGTCTTCTAAAGGTTGAATATTCGCACTAACCTTTATCTTCAAATTGTTTATTCTCTCACACAACTTTATGTACTTTTATATCACTCTTATTCTATCCTCTTGTTGTTCGTATGCTACTGTGAAGTGTGACAACTTGAACGGATGTACAAGTGTGCGAGGTTCTAGGTTGATTCTGTCTATATAAATAAGGAAAGCGAGAGCAATCGTCCCGTAGAGCTTTGACGCAGATTATTTTTCGCTGTCATAGTTTATTAACTCCGAGTGGGTTGGTGATTAGTTTCTAGTCGCTTGTTAGGCGAAATCTAGTGCGATATAATGCTACCCAGTTGTATATACTTATGAGGCGAGATTTTTTAATTGACTGCACTTGAGATGTGACTATCTCCTTAGATCCAAATTGTTACACTCAGGAAGACTAACTTCTTATCCTATCATGTCAAATCCGTTAATGAAATAAAACTGTTGCCTGTAAAAAATTATGGAGCTCAAAATAATTTGACTACATAAAATTAACCTATTCATTGTACAGTTAAAGCAAGGGTCTCGAACCAGTGAATACGTGGTTATTTTTTCTGTATTTCATGGCTTTTTTCCCTATCAACGTCTTGAAAAGTGGTTTCATAATGTTTGTTTGATGTTTTAAATTCTTTTAGGCCAAGTCTCAGTATGAAGAACAACGTATCCAGAATGTTCCTGGAATGTTTTACGGAGTCAGTACTGCTTTACCACGTTACAAGGATCTTATTTATAGTAGGTTTCACTTGTTAAAAAATTATTTTTGATAATTTGAGTAAGGGCTCAAAGGAACTTTACTACCAAGTGACCCGGAATATGCGAATGTCACAAGTAAGTAATTTGAAGTATTCATTACTATGGTCGTTTTTCCTCTCAACAAAATAGAGGCTTGGAAGTTTATCAAAGATCTTTTGGACCGTTCAGAACAAGAAGTTGTTTTACAGGTTGGTTATGATAAATTTTAACTGAATTCATATGCTTTACTATGTTGCTACAATAGCTTTAAAGGTAGAAATCGCCATAAATGTCAACATATCAAACCGAGATTCGAAGAGTAAAATGAAGTGAAGAGAACTATGAGGTGTAAACCACTTCAGCTAGATAATCTCACCAACCCTCATACAATAGATATGGTTTATTGTCTAGAGCAGGAAACTTCACGTGGTTACTGAACTGCATTTTCTAGTTCTTTTTTTTGTGCTACTGAGAAGACAAACAACTTGTTTTTGTTTTATCATGCACAATGCCTAAAAATCTTATTTTTTTTTCTTGCAAAAATAAACATATCAACTAGTCATACAAATCAGAAGGATGACATTTATGCAATAAACAAAAACCTATTTGTCGCGCTACATATCCGTCTTTTACTTTCATGGATACTTTTTATTCAATTGCCAATTATTATTGATCGAAAACTCACTGATTCTAATTTACTTCCACTCCCACAAACTCATCTGTGTACCCGTGATTCATTGGTCTGGGCACTTGATCTACAACCCATGGGTCGCATGTTCTAATCCAGCTCCACTTACCAAGGTTCGGCAGCCAGGTAGTATCATTAACCCTCACACAATAGGTATGGCTTTTTGCTTAGTGAATAAATGTGCACAAGGTTGCTGAATGCATTTCAACTTCTTTTTCTCTTCACAAGCTCATCTACAGTTTATAGAATATGCATATCACTAGAACCAGCAGAATGTTCTGGTGTTACCAGGAAACTTATGTGCCTCGACACCTCAAGAGAATATACTTTCATTCAAGGGATATCTGGCATTACCTATTACTAAGCACTTAGTAATAACTGGTCACAGTCGCAATTTGGGTGTAATACTATTAAATGTGCTAAAAGCGGTTAAGACTAGTCACATTCTCCAAAAAATAATGGATTTGATTCTTGATCTACCCTTGATTATTTGGTTTATTATACTGCTTAGTTGTTAGCATATCGTTTTATCTAACAGAACTCAATATATTATTTGATACCTTTTTAATGTAAGCGATATTGTATTTCTGTTGTTGAAGACCTGCGGAATGTATCGTTACAATGTTTATCTTTCGGAGTTATGACGACAGTTACTTTATTTTACGAGTACATTTATGTGACTGTCTGTTAGCTGAAAGTTTAGATAATTAATGTAAGACTAATAATATCGAGATAATGTGGTAAAGAGATACATTATGACAGCCGAAAGCTCGTCATGGAAACCTGATTGATTAGGCCAGATATTTGTTCATGAATTATTTTCTTTGTCAATATTATGGTCAGTCTAATCAGTATTACCTTTATCCTCTTTCTTGTAGGAAAAGATGTTAAAAGCTCGCGAGGCACTTGGTAAACTGGATGGTCTTCGTGTGAAGTATATTCGTATTCCATTGTTGCATTTAGAAGGACCTGCAAAGAAACTTCCACGACGTTCAATACACAGACGACTTTTGGATAGATATCTATTTCTTGTAAGATATATTTTATGTTACTTTTGTGATTGATAATTAGTTAGGGGACCCATTAATGAAGTAAGTATCACTTTAGCAAACAATGGATCGTTACTCTTTGTATTTACGGGAATCCACTATATATTACATTCTATCTTGAGGGATACATCATATGATTATCTTACACCAACTAGTGTATATTCAGTCATTCTTTCGAAAAAGCTATGCCAAATTTTATCATTGACGTCACACGTAAAATGAGATATTTTCCTTGTTAGGTTGTATTTCCGCATTCTGTTAAAAACAAATGACAGGATGTGTATTGTATGTGTCTGTCAGTTCAAATTGTTGGACTTCAACATAAAGACAAATTTAGCGAGTAGAAGGGTATACAAGTAAAATGAATAACTTCTGTAAAAAAGAGGAGACTTGAAAAAACTAATCAGTCAGTATCAACATCGATTCTGACATTACTGCGTAGCTGTCCAATTCACCACACATCAACATATCAAGGTAAAAGGTATCAAGATAAAAAAAAAGTAGAGGAATAAAGTAGAAAGTATTCGTAAGCAGTAGAAAGTCATAAAAAGAAAGCAACGATGAAATTCAGCATAACGATTAAGATAAAGACAATGCGTAGATACATCTGCACCATTGCGATCAATACCGAGCCGTATAATGTAGTCTCTAACCGCCGATTTTTGTTTCAACACGGACTCCAGTCAAGAAGTCTACATTTTCCAACATATCTCGAATCGACAATCAGGGATCTCGTGGACTGATGCCCGTTATCTTTTGCCATCTTTAATATACTACAGCTAACATAAAGTGACGAGAAAAACGGTGGCATGGCATATAAAACACATCTAGCCATATGAGTCGAAGAAAGTTTGCGACCTTATCAACTGACTTAGATAATTAAAAAAAGACATACAAAATTCAAGGTTTAGAAGTCAGGAAATAAATGCGTACATATTATAGCGATTGATTCTATCCTCTGTAACCTGAAATTTTAAATCAACGATTTTAGTTGTCTCGCAGAACTCAATTTGAAAAGCTGCACGGCTCAGACAGTCAGAGAAGTCATGTATTAATACCATGTCTTATTATCGCTACCTCTTTCTTCCAAACAAGCCCTACTTCATATTAATGATGGATAGTGGCTAACAGTATAATCCAGGATGCTCATCCCGTCTTATCTAAAACTCTTCAGGTGGGCGTACCTGCCTTCCAGTGAGTGATGTTGTTCCCAATAGGACTTGAACCCAGGACATCATGAAAACTATACCCGTAGCTTAAGAATTGGCTGTCGTGACTCGGTAGCCTAGTGAATAACGTCCTGGCGTTCGAAGCAACCGGTCACGGGTTCGAGTTCAAGTGGGAACAATATTGTTCACTGGGAGGCAGGTACATCCAGCTGACGAGTCCCAAATAGGATGAATTGCGCATCCCGGATTCCACTGCTAGCCACTATCCATCATTAGCTGCCTCTTGGCAGTTACTGATTCGCAAGCAGAAAGACTGGTTCTAGCATTCATCATCAACACAACACCCAGTCTCAACTTCATTATTCTTGCATCATCATCAACAACAATAACACAATATGGATTGATTTGATTCTTTATTATTATTATTATTATTATCATTATCATTACTGCCACTCATTTTCACTCTATTCCTGCAAATCATTGAAAATTTCAATCCCATATACCAACTGAAGTGACACATATTCGCTTCATACATTCCATTGTAACTATAAAATTACCAAATGACTATAATGTCACCTGTAACACATTTTGTTTGATATTTACAATTATGGAGAATGTAAGTGGTAACACATACACATACACACACACATGCTAGCCATACAACAAGAGACATACAACTTCATACTGACTGACTAGTTATATTTTAGAAAGACAATGACTATACGAAGAGGATTCGACAAGGAGATTAAAAACACGCCTTTGGATTCATTTATATGTCTTTGATAGCTTAGTTTTGATGCCTTCCACTGAAGAAACTTGGTCAGACTTCTATGCGAAACATTAGAATTATTTCATTTCAAATAAGCTGTGACTTTTACAAATACAAAATATTATCTAATGTTAACCGTTTACTCAGTGCCCAGTATTTTCCATACTATTCGCTCAAATTTCGATCATAGTTCATTTAAGCCAGTAAATGGTTGCTTTTTTTTACCAGCTGACTTACCCTTTTTAACCTTACGTCTGCATTGCTGACGCGAATTTTCCAGGAAATACTGCCAATGCTACTAAAGCGATGGTAATAAAATTCTTGCTGTCATATCCTCAGTCTGTAGGAATTATGTTTTATAGAAAAGGGCGAAATATTGAAGTATCGGCCAACTGACCCTTAATTAGCATCCAGGTATCTCATTAACGCCACAGTGAATGTAATTTGACAAAAGTATGTGTTGCATGTGTTGAAATTTGATCAATTACTGATCTATCAGGGTTGATATCACTTCCAAGGCAGGAGGGGGTGGTAACTGCATATCACATTCCTCTGTATTTTCAAGTGAGATATGGTTATAGACTATTTTTGAAGCAACGGTATGCGTTTGAGAGATGAATAACTCATCCATAATATACTCAGATTGTCACTCAGCATCCAGAAGATTGAAGCATAAATAACACCACCATCACTAAAGGTCATGTTTCATTCACGTTCAGACTTTGCTAGTGCGCATACGTCTTGCCAGATCAAAACCACAACTTTCAACTCTAAATTGGAATGTAATACTGTGAGATTTCAACTCGATACATTACTTTCCCACAGACCATGTTAACCTATATTCACCTTGTTTCGAGAATTATGCAAGCTGATTAGTGGGATAGTCTCTGATTAGTGCTGTAGCTACTGTTGAAAGAAATATCTATCTGCATACCGTGTATTTCACCGATTTTTATGTAAATGTAACAACTTTTTTCTACTTTTAGTTCTCCGAATATTTGGTTATGACTGAACCTCCAAACGCGGTTGGTCGTTACCAAGTTAAGTCGGAAACACATCTGGCTGGAATGACAGTAAGTTCGGTGACCGCAAATTTTCTCATGACATAAAACCTAAATAGATTTTGTTTAGAATGTTGACTCACAGAGCTAGTCTGTTCTGTATTTGTGTGTATATTCATTCCTCATAACATCATATGTCGCGATTGTTGGTGACACTATTATCTTAGAGGTATAAGACTGTCTCAGAGATTCCCAGTTACAGTCTTCATCTCACCTCTCCTGGGATGAAATGAAGGGCTGTTGTAGTGAACATACTTCTGAAGTTTTAAGCTAACGGTTTAGATACTTGACTTTCAGTCAGTGGATTACGGATTCAAAGCCTAACTTGTTATCGAAATTCGACTTTAAGTCAAACTACGTCTTTAGTTGTTCTTTTCTAAACTCATCAACTGATGACAACTAATTTTAGATGCATTTTTCCGTCTCACATCTATGGCGTTGCAAAACTTGGTAGCTTGAGAAAGTGCACTTTTATGTGAGGTTTTATGTTGAACTGTCTTCCTGATCACTGCATTTGTCAGCTGCTGTCACTGCTGACAACCTGAATAAGCAAACAGACAAAATCAAGATAGAATATTGCACATAACTGCATCGATTCAAGTTGTCATACTTCACAGCAGTATGCAGAGAAAAATTGGGTAGAGAAAGAGTGACATTATAGTAGAAAAAGGTATTCGGAAGGAAAAGGAAGGTTAATGAAAGTGTTCAGGGTTTAGATGTCAGAGAGTGAATACATCTGTGCCATTTTGACCTGTTTTCAGTCATGTCACCAAAGATCTCAATGATTGATTCCTATTGTCTTGAGGAACCCAGACCAACAGCCAGAGACTTCGTTGGGTAGTGGGACGTATTGATCTGGTCACTCCGAGCCTTCTTCCAACCTGAATGGAGCAGCACATTTCCTTTTCTATTGTTACCTCTAATTCCAGCTGCTTAATTATTCACTATCTAGATTTCCCTGTTTAGTTGTTGGGTGATTTGTTTTCATTTTGGTTCAGTAAAAGCAAAACATTAGTGGAGAAGGTTAGACGTCGGTTGGGCTACAGTTTTTATTCATGAACTGGAGAAACTAAAATCTTTAGATTTGTACAACCAACTGTTTTTTTTTGCGTGATGCAATGATTGAGATATTTTAGTCTTCCAATTAAGTATCTCCGTATCGTTACCCGATTTCATATGGTATTATAAACCCAATTATTTCGTAGCCATCTTAACGTGATCTGGACTAATGTATGATATAATGGAGTACTTCTACCTAAAATAAACTGTATGCGAAACACGGCCTGAATTTGACAATTTCTGCAAATGCGTGTAATGTTACATTTTTCTGTTATTATTATAGAAAGTGGTATTAACCTTCAGTGACTGAATATTTTGCTTCTACTCGAAGACTATGTAATGCTTTCATTCTAACACTATTCTACTTTTCCCTTGATTACCTCCTTAGTTATGGGAAGTGAAGGATGACGAAGAAATAAACGTTGATCATTGTTTCAGAATCAAAGCTAAGGAATTATGTGTTGAAGTTGCCTTTGCGTAAGTAAAATTTAATGCCCTTACTACTCGTAATAATAATAATAATAACTTGCTAGTATGCAATGAATCATATAACGTAAAATGAATAGTTGATTATAAGTTAGAAAGAGAGTCACAAGATAACTACGAATGAATTCTTGCCATTGTATGTATGGCTGCCTTACTATCTAAATTAGCATTTGTGGTGACAATTACGACAAAAATAAGGCAAGAATATATCTGTGCTGCTGAGGTCAGTCTCGACTTATATCACCTAGGGTCTCCAACCAACGGTTTTGGCTGTCAAATGGACTCCAATCAAGATGCCTGTGTAACTCAGATAGACAGTTAAAGATGTCGTCGGCTGGTCACCCTCGACGTTTTGTAACTTAACTATAGTTCAGCTAACTTCGCACGTCGAGGTAGATGGTGACTTTGAAAGCGTAACCTATGAGCTAATCTACTCAGCCAATGAAGATCTGATATTTTATTAGGTGACTTGCCTCTTTTACTTAACGTTCAACACCTTGCCTCTGCATTGCTTACGTGGATGTCCAACGACATCCAGACAGTACCGTAAAAATGATGGTAACCAGATAAATGGGTCTCCTCATATCTTTCATCTTCAATAATCATGTTTTGAAACTATTTGATAAGAGACTGAACTACTGCACGGCAAGTGCGTAATGGGCAACCGGGTATCTCGTTTATGCAATGATTGGCGTAATTTGTCAATTGGGAGTTGAGTCTTTTCATTTATACAAGTAACTTCACCAACCAACAACCTGCTAAGGCTGATCAGACTTCTCAAGTAGCTGAATCGAGCAACGTGTTTAACCGTACCACTCCTCACTGTCAGACACGGTTTTCATACAGACTAGTGCTGAAGCGAAAGTGTGCTTTAAGATGGGAAATACATCTCACACGTTCTCATATTATCACTGAATTTGTTCAGAAAACGCCTTATCTTATCAGGGATTTCATTCACCAGGACGACATACTTTCCATAACTGAAGTCAACTAAGAAATCTTCTGTGAATAGGTAAGTCCCTGTAAAGTCAGGTGAGGAGAAAGTTCGCACCATAAAGGCATGTTAAATAGGAGTTAAATGGAAACAGAGTGATTTTATATCCTTGATGAACACTACTACATAGACATGTCACTCACTAGTACGCCATATTAAACGTGTATTACAGTTTTGAACTTACTATGTACCGCTTTCACTGAACAACGTAACGAAAACTTTCAACGGACGGAGTAAAAAATGGCCTTAAGGTCAGGAAATGCACATATGCACATATCCATAATCTGGTGGATAGGAAGAATCTGGTTGATACGCTCAGACCAAAAATACATTTCAGTGTGACCAACTCGATTATCTATTAAGTGTCAAGTGCATTGCTTTGTTATGCTATATGGATGTGAAAAATGACCCATTAAGTAGGTGGACATGGGAAGGCCTCACGTATTTGACTACCGTTACCTCCGCAGCATAGTTCGCGTGTCATGGTATCACCGCGTCAATAATGTAGAAGCCATATGTAGAGTTTTAGGGAGGAGAGGAATGTCATTTGATGAGGTTGTTAACCTTCATCGTCTGAGGTGGCTAAGATGTATTTCACTCATGCTTAGTCACCGTCTACCTTGTCGCACAATGTTGAGTGAAGTGGGTTCAGACTGAGAAAGGGTTAGAAGCGTTCAGACTAAAACATGACATCAGAGCACAAATTCTTTGACTATTGGCCTGAGCCATGTAGGGTAGTGTAGACCTCTCGGTTGGGGTCTACATGACGGCAGAAACCAGTGGTTGACAACTTTATGCGATGTGGGGTTACTTTAAGGATTGATTGCTGTTTAAAAATGGATAAGTAGGCATAACAGTAATTATCGTCTGTAACAGAAAGCATATACTTCAGTTTCAGTTCAAATCTGTGCTAACATTATTTCACAATAAATAAATAGAGCACATAATGCTCGTTTAGTTTGTTTGAAAGTAATTCAGCGAAATAACCTTGAAAGTGGTAACTGGAGTTTATTGAGATAATCTGTGCAACTATCTGATAAGGTCAAATACACTCACAGTGATCTAAACATGAAATAGAGAATCAATGAACTGTGAACAATTATTCTGTCTATATGTCTACTAAATCATCATATGTTTTGGAATTGTTTACTAGCTTAACATAAGTAAAATGTTTAGAAGCATGCAATTAATTGATGTAAACATCATAGGTCCAACTTCTTTTCGACGAGGAGTTTGATGAATGTAGAAGTTCCCCAACAACGGTCACTTGATTTGAAGATGGATGTTAGAGAAAAGAGTAGAAGAAATTTTAAAAATATAAAACTTGATCCATATATTTTCGTCAACATTTGGAACCTAAAAACTAAAACAGTCTCCATCCGATGACTGATTTACGTAAATTATCTTTAGTTTTAGAAAAGGTTGCAGTCGCAACTGCTTAGTTTTGGAGATGTTGACTTCGGTTGTGGGTGTGTTCGACTCCACGACGAAACACCACTTTACTCAAAGCCCGTTGGTCTTGTTGATGATTACTGACAGATATACACTTTCCCTTTGCATGTTTCCGTGAAGTGTTACAGTTTGAACTGATGCACTTTTGTACCAGATTCTAGGTTGATCTATCTGTCTATTTGATTAAAAGTGGGCCACGATATAGTGTCACTTAACTTCATACATACATTAAAAACGTGGTCGGAATATTTTGATAACTGCTGTGTTTACCGTTCAATGATGCTTTTCCATCAGTACATATATATAACCTCGCCCAGTTAACTAGTTCACTAGTTACTAGCCAATCCTAAGCCCGGATAAAGTGGGAAGGTTGGGCATGGCGCTAGCAACCCTACCACCTAAAACCGATCCAATCGCTAAAGAAACTTCTAAACACAAAGAAAATATAAAAAATAAAAATGAACTTATTCCTCGCTGGAATCAGAGAGACGAAATGACGCCGGTTGGTGAAAGCCTGCCTTCGGGAAGCCAACTGACTAATATGTCTTCTCTCGATGAAAGCGGAAATAGAGATGGGGACATGGAATGTCCGCACCATGTATGAACCTAGCAAGGCTGCCCAGATTGCAAAAGAGATGAGAAAGTATGACATAGAAGTGCTTGAAATCTGCCAGGGATAAGCAGATGGAATGAAAGTGAACTCTCCAAACTGTCAACTGGAGAATCAATAATCTACTCCGATATTGTGACCCAGACGACAACCACGAGCACACTGAGTTTTGGAGTGGCTGTCATGATGTCCCCAAGAACATCGAGGGTTCTCATGTTGTGGGAACCAGTCTCCTCCAGGATCAAGACAGCAAGATTCAACTGAATAGGAAGGAAAGTCACAATCGTGCAATGCTACTCTATGCTATGCACGTACAAATAATGCAGATCGAGAGATGAGGGGGGAGTTCTGTAGACGACTGCAATCAGTACTAGACAAGATTCCAGTTGGTGACATCAAAATTCTAATGGGCGACATGAATGCCAAACTGCAGGGAGAGGACAATACAGGAATAGAACTTACCATGGGTCATGAAGCACTCGGTGAGGTGATGAACGAGAATGGAGAACTGTTTGCAGACTTTTGCACATTCAACGGTTTGATAATTGGAGGCAGTGTTACAAACACAAGGATGTTCACAAGGCAGCGACATGGATTTGATTTCACCTGATGGACATTAAAAGTCAAATCGATTTCATCTCAATGTTAAGAAAGTGGAGACGCAGCCTACTTGACACAAGGTCAAGCGGAGCGGATGTAGGTTCAGACCACTATCTAGTGCAAGGAACCTTCAAAATCAAGTTGAAAGCCTTCAAGGAAGCTGGTGATAGACCACAGTTGAAGTTGAACAGCTAGAACAGAAACCAAACTCAAGGACGAAACTACAAAGGACATCTTCATGGCAGCCAGCCATCTGGAAAAAATGGGAAACAGTGAGCAACATTTCTGAAGGAACCTGCTTTGAAGAACACTGGAACTCTTTGAAACATATGTGGGAAGAAACCTGCTTAACCGTATTGGGAAGGAAGAGTGAACAAGACAAGAAATGGATCTCGATGGACACATGGGAACTGATAGAGCAGGGAGAGGAAGATGGTGAAGCAGAAGATGGATCAGTGTAGTGTAGGGATGAACAGCGTAAAGAGGAAGTGAACACAACGTATAAAACACCACACTGGACAAAAAAGTGAAGAAGAGTGCACGGAAAGACAAATGACACTTCTACGACACACCTGCAAGTGAGGCAGAACAGGCTAAAGGCTGCAGGAGAGACCTGACAACGCTGTATCAAATAACCAGGTTACTATCTGGGAAGAGATCAATTCAGACGAAATCAATGAAAGATGGTGAAGGAAACTTAGTTACCAAAGAGGATTAGTAAAGGAAACAATGGACTGACCACTTCAAAAATCTCTTGAATCGACCACCACCACCACCTGCAACTCGTTCAGAAATACCACCAGCAGCCCAGCCACTGAATTACCAGTAAACACAAGCCCTCCGACAAAAGTAGAAGTCCTAAGTGCCATAAAGTTGCTGAAATGCGTGAAAGCAGCAGGATCAGATGGAGTTCCGCCAGAAGCACTGAAAACAGATGCAGAGACAACAGTAGACACGTTCATATCATTACTTCAGAAGGTTTGGAATGAAGGAAAGCTACCTGCGCATTGATTGGAAGAAGGGCTACCTTGTCAAACATTCAAAGAAGGGAGACCTAAGTCTTTGCAAGGACTGGCGAAGAATCATTCTCCTATCCACTCCAAGCAAAATATTATGTCGCATCACCCTGGAGGGGGAGACTTAAAAGTGAGCCGGACTCAAAATTACGACCGGAACAGGCTGGCTGGCTTAAGGAAGAACAAATCATGTGCGGATCAAATTGCAACGCTACGCTACACATCATCATAGAACAGAGCATAGAATGGCAGTCAACTCTCTACCTCAACTTCATCGATTTTGAAAAGACCTTCGATAGAGTCGACCGAGAAGTAATTTGGCAGTTGCTGCTTCAGTACTACGGAATACCACAAACGTTTATCAACCTCATTCAACAGCTATACGACGACGCGACATGCCAAGTAATTCACAATGGAAAGCTCAATGACGCCTTTGAAGTGAAGACAGGAAGGAGTAAGACAAGATTGTCGCCCACTATCACCCATGATCTTGATTGTGGTCGACTCGATTATGCAGCAAACTGTGAGGAGCTGTGAGAAGAGGGGCATACGCTGGACCAATAAAAAAAATCTTAGAAGATTTGAATATCGTCGATGATGATTTATGTCTAATATCTTGTCGCACAAACTTGAAGATGAACAGACAAAAACTAACAAGTTGACAAGAGGCAGCGAAGGAAAACGGGACTTCAACTGAATGTAGAGAAGACAGAGGTGAGGAAGATACCCAACCAACAACAACAATAAGCAGCGTCAACGGGAGAAATCTAAGGGAAGTAGCCTCTTTCACCTACCACCTAAGCATCATCAATTCAACTACAGGCAGCGGCACAGATGAAGATGTCAAAGCCAGGATCGGAAACACAGCAAGATAGGGCTTAATTAATCTAAAATCAGTGCGGAGATCTACTGCACTCAGCATAAAGCGTGAACAAGATCCGGATTTTCAACACCAACGTCGAGTCAGTGCTTCTGTATGGTTGAGAGACTTGGCGCGTCACGCAAAGCATTTCCAACAAACTACAGATATTCATCAACCGCTGCCTACACCCACTCAATACTGAAGATCAGATGGCCAGAAAGAATAGGAAATAAGGTGCTCTGGGAACGAACCAACCAAGAAGCTATTGCCCAACAAATATGCAGAAGAAAGTGGAGATGGTTTGGGCATGCACTGAGGAGGCCGGTTGCGGACATCACGCTCCAGGCCGTCAAGTGGAATCCAATCGGGAAACGACGAGTTGGGCGTCCGAGGCGAGGGTAACATGGAGGAGGTCATGTGGGGAAGAAATGAAAGGTTGTGGGCAGTCGTGGAGCCAGGTTCAGAAGACAGCAGAGAACAGAGTGGAATGTAGATGTGCTACTGAAGCCCTATGTCCCACTAGGAACCCATGGATAAATGAATATATATATATATCCAACTGCGACACTTTTACCTGTCTCAAACTCTTACTTAAGGTGCCCCAAACCCTCATTACAATTATTATAACTGTTATTATCATTCTTATTATTATTATCTGCTGTGTGTTTTCCAGCGTAAATTGTTGCTCATAGTCAAGGTTATCACATGACAAGTCTAATACGGAACTGCATTCTATCACAGCACTTCAGGAGTTATTTTTCACTCTGTTATTCTGAAAACTAATTAGATAGTCATATTTTGCACTCAGTTAGTTATTTGATGAGGGATAAAGGTTATAAACAACTTTCCGGAATCCATAGACTTTTGGAAAATTAATTCATCGTGATTTTCGTGCCTACTTATTTTAGGAAAAAAATAAGAACAACATAATCTGGTATGACGTGATATCTCAACTATTCTGGACCATTTACTCAGTCACGGCTAGCAGAAGAATCCAAGACGCGTGTTTCGTCCCATATGGGACTCGTCAGCTGGATGTGCCTGCACCCCAGTGAGTGATATTGTTCCCACTGAGATCATACTTAACAATCAGGCAATATTGAGGCATCCACATAGGAGCTCATATGCCAGTAGAGGTCGAACGATTCGATCCAATAAAATAACGCAGAATTACAAGCATTGCCATAAATAGCAATAATTTGAACCAGATTACATGTTGATTTTGTTAGAAGGCACCTTCTTAAGTCCTTGAAATACTTTGCATATGTACATATATGTATATTGAAATACCTGTACGTAGTTTATCAGCAGGCTATTTCATTTTAACTTTTGCTGTTGTCTGTGTTTACTCGTTTAAAAAAATGTATTCTAGAAATGCAAATGAGAAAACGCTCTGGTGGAATGAATTGCAACAGGCGATTGATTGTGAATGCAATAAACCCAATGGTACTAATTTTGAGGAAGAAGTAAGTCGTCGATGTTTCTTCGTATTGCTTATATTCTTCTTAATCCTTATCCTTTCGAAACTCTCTGTTCTATAATTTCTAGATTTTATTATAGAATGGCACTGAATAGAACCTCATATAGTTATTGTATTTCATATACCTGTGCAACATTGTGGAGCTGTAGTCGACTTTCAGCCAGTACTTCACAGGTTCGAAGACACTAACAAGGCAGTAGACACCTCTCTACACGACTCGGATCAGCAATCAGAGACTTCATTGGCTAGTGGTGTTTTCGTCTGTCCACCCTCAGTTTTCTTCCAAGACAATCCTACTTCGGCTAACATCGCACTTCAAGGAATGTGATGGTTTGGCGTGCGCAACGCTTGTCCAAACCAACGCATTTGGTGAGAGTTCACTACCTCATCGACTAACTTGACTGTTTTACCTCGCACTTCTCATTTAACTTTAACATTGTTCACACGATGATTCTACCATACGTGAGTACTAGTGTTAAGACTCCAGAGGTGACGTAAGTTTGTGAGTGATTAGTGAGTCTTTTGTATCCAGGCTGAGGTTTCACATAACACTAACTCATTTGGGTTTATGCGACTCGCCGGATGAGTAGGGTGGTCAAAGTCCGCAACGACTTCACTCCTTATTCTTAAACCAGGAGTTGCTGCAGTTCAGTCGTGAAACATCTTACGTTTGACAGCCGCGAAACACATGCTAATTGTTCTCAGATTTCCGCTCAACGCGTTTAGAAGACCCTGCATTTTATCAGTGTGTTCATCTTATGTGGCAGTGTCCGCGTGCTGCAAGGTAACCACGTGCCCTTGAGGGAGTAAGTCAGTCCCTGTGAAGTACTTAAGTTTATGCCTATTAGCATCTTCATAGCAAATTTAAATAGGAACTTTCGCAGCTGGCATCCATGGCAGGCACCACTGATTGATGTCACTTCAGAACCTTGATTAGTATCGCATACCTACTTGGTACTTATTTCACAGTGGGATACTGTTGCAACACCTCTCAGTCGACAGAGTTGTATACCACCTTCAGGTTAAGAAAATTGGCAAGCATGAGACATCGGTGAATATGCCTGTGTTCCGGAACTTGCCAAACTACGAAGATGTGACCGATGTACTAGCGTCCAGGTCTGAAACCCTCCTGGTTTTCTGGAGTTTATGGTTCCCAAACTCGATTTAGGTATCATATCATTAAATCGAGAACAGCAACATAATTGGTTATCATAAACACAGGCCAGTAGATGACAATTTGATACCTCTTATGATGGACTATCTATTCACATAACCTGGGAAGTTTACAAGTGTGTACACAGTCTGTTGTTATACGAAGTAATATTATATCGTCTTATACCTTTTGGCAAAATGTTTCTACTATTTTCTTCATAAATAACTCGTACCACCCTAATCAAATAGAGAAAAGATGGTTGGAGACCGTAGACAATAGGTGTAACAGTTTTTAAACTCAAACTGCTGTATCTATTGCTAGCTTTTTCAACTTACTTTCCTTTCCGTTAGAAAAAATCTGTTTCATACTGTGTGTTGCACCAACTTGATTTTTTGGTCAATCCGATTAAGATAACCAGCATCACTGATTACCCATATTGTAGTGGGCGTTGCAGATAACAACGGATATAATTAGTATATATCGAGAGGGTGGCAGGAATCATAGGGAATTACCGGTAATGGGTAAGGTTTCTGCCAAGAGCAACGCAGGGGACAACACAGGCGTGTTATACAGGGGATGCTGCTGATAAGAGTGTATGAAGAGCCGGTCAAGAGCAAATCAAGACAGGAACAGAGAGGAAACGAAGACATTTGCAAATGGCTGCGTTGGTGCAAGGAGTACCATATGTAACCACTACCATTCCAATTCTTCCTAATATACATTCTCTCATCGAATAGAGCAGTTATAACTATATGATTTAGTTATATACATGACTATACTCTTTTCCTTTAATTTCAAACTAATATCAAACATCTTTGGTGGTGAACTAAATTGTTAAATAGTTGAAATGTCGCTTTAAATGATCTTCATAACGTGTAGTCAGTGAAAATCAATATCCAGTGGACAAGTGTTCTGGTGTGTATGGAATTTTTGCAGAAGAAACTTTATTTCACTAGAAATTTGTCGGCGTTCACATGTATCACAAATTAACTGGCTTCTCTAGCAGCAGCCTTTAACTCCTGGATACAATGTGTAATCTGAACTATATGTTACTTCAAATTAGCACGATAATGGAATAAGGTTTATCTTGCAGTTTCTACCTATTTTAAGGAGTTGTTTATTCATGACTGACTTTAAAAACTGATTACATAATTTACTACAAACCTCTGAGTCATTCATTATTGTAGATTTGGTATTCTTTAAGTGTTCACCTACCACTAAAATGAAGAAATGTCAAAAAAGTAGTACTGATTACACTGGAATAGAATCTCGAACAAGCCACTATAATCAGTAAACAAGTTTCTAGAATATCATGATATCTTCAGGGTCATATAAAGCACGTATTTGACTTTACAATTTTTTACCGTTTTCTTTTTTCGAATATGAGTTTCTCGGTTTTCACTCTTGGTGTTAGTCTGTGTTTCTCTTAATTAGGTGTCTTATGATGTTACAGGACCTCGCTGTTTCATCAGTGATACCAGAGCGTAGCTCACTGGCTTAGCGAGTGTGCTATGTACTTCAGTGTTAACTCATCACCTTAGATATGAACGGTCACGTAGCGTTACAGGTCTCATGTACTACATACACCTCATGGCCTAGTACACAAATCTTCAATTGTTTATTGGATTACGTAATTCACTTTACACATCATCTCTAACAATTTGACTTTGTTCTGTCCTTTGCAATCATATTTAATTAGATATCTAACGTTCTGTTCATTCCTGTTATTTATGTGGTTGTTATTGAGTAGAAAACAGTGTTGAGTACTAGCAATTTAGGTGATGTGGCTGCTCAATGGGTGAAAGATGAATCATCCACTATGTGTACATATTGTTGTACTGAATTTACTACAATTAATCGACGTCATCATTGTCGTGCATGTGGCAAGGTATGTATTATGGGATTGTACTGTTTTTGTGTTCAGATTATTTTCTCTATCAGTTCATTTAATTTTATTGTTGTTTTGTATAAAGTCCTACATGGTAGTTCCCTAATTGTGTACCCTCGTTTGACTTCAGCTATTTGTTTGACTGGCAGTTGTTTTCATTCTCTACTTTTGCCACATAATCGGACAGAATAATGTATCACCTCTATTTACTGCACCTTCAAACAAAACAAAATCCAAGCCAATAAAATATATCCTCATGAAAGTACAAAGTGGAAACTGTTATAATTTAAACCATTATCACCATAGTAACATTAAGATTGTCGACATTTTTTCAATGCTTTTAATATACAACTAACACAACTAAAATCATCATCAGCTATTTGTTATTTCAAATTGCCTAACTCAGTGTGCGTCAAGAAAATATCTAATGGCTTCTTCGCGTGTTACTTAACAGACATTTATTTTTCCTAAATTCCAATTTTTCATCCAACCTCTGTACATCATAAAAGTCATGTTTACCTCTTAGAAACCTCCATGGCTTATATCGGCTCTGTTAACGTGATGTTTGCTTTATCTCACGTCACATGCATACGTGTCTACGTATTATACTGTCAGTCGAACGGTGGCTGATTGCCTTAAGCACTTGATTTTCATGCAATGGGTCCTCGACTCAAATTCTTCCCCCTTAGTTTGCCTGAACAAACTGTTAGTATTGTAAGCTCTAACAGCCTTGTACGAAAAACATATCCAGGTCGTGTTACACTACATTGCATTGCTCTGTTATGAAAGATTCATTCTTGCCTTATTATACAGAGGAGACAGTCTATTGTTGATGTGAATATAGGTACGATGTAGCTTAACGTACAGATTGGTGTTCACTAGGACGAAATAATCGATTAACTGGTTACGATCTACGTGTGACTATCCCAAAAATCCAAACTACATAATGATGATCAGGAAGGACGAATTGATGGTAGCACAAATCGTATCATTTAGTCAAATGAAACGGTTTTTTGAGTACAGTAGGTGAAACTCAGAGTAACATGAGTAGAAAACACATTAAAAAAAGTATGACTAATTAAAAATGAAAGTCCCGAAATAGCCAATCGCAGCCGTAGTCTCTGCCGTATCACATCTAAAGTATCACTGTATGTAATACCACATTACTCTGTCCTGATCACCTTGAAAGTTTTTTCTTTTACTCCGACTAGTGTTACACATCAAGCAGACGATCATATGACTTGTACGACTTGTATCATTCACAACCGACTAACTTTTATGCAGCCAACAATCTTGATTTCCCATAACATCATTTGTCATCTATGAACCTATCTATTATATATTTTTCGGTAGAGCAACGAAGTCTGTTGATATAAAATAGATTATGCAGTATACTGAATAATCACTGAAGAGTAACCAATTTCATGTTATCTAGTCCTAAGTGCTGACCGAATTCTGTCGCTGATTTTTAATGTTAATCACCAATCTAAGAGACTCAACATCACGGAGCTCTTTGATTGATGTTAGATAGCTGGAGGCAATTACCAAGAAGCCTTGGACTGAGATTTCATGCTTGTCAACCTTAGATGAAGTTTCCAACAGAAATTATTCATTTGATTATGCCCTAAGTGTCATTCTATCTAGGAAGCACTGTTTCAACTACAGGTGGCACAGACGAGGATGTCAAAGTCAGAATCGGAAAAGCAAGACAGGCGTTCATTAGCCTGAAACCAGTGTGGAGATCTTCTGCACTCAGCATGCGGAACAACATCCGGATTTTCAACACCAACCCAGTCAAGTCAGTGCTCTTGTATGGTTCAGAGACTTGGCGCGTCACGAAAGGGATTTCCAATAAACTACAGACATTCATCAACAACTGCTTACGCTGGCTCTCTACTGAAGATCAGATGGCCAGAATAATAAGAATAAGCAACAAGGAGCTCTGGAAACGAACCAACCAAGAACCTATCACTCAACAAATATGTAGAAGGAAGTGTAGATGGATTGGGCATACACTGAGAAGGCCGACTGAGGACATCACGCGTCAGGCCAGTTGCTCGAGTGGAATCCTCATGGGAAGCGACGAGTTGGGCGTCGGTGTTGAGGGTGACATGGAGGAGGTCGTGCGAGGAGGAAATGAGAGTTGTGGGCTGTCGTGGGACCAGTTCAAAAGATCTCAGAGAACAGAGGTCACTGGAGACGTGCTACTGAGGCCCTATGTTCCATTAGGAACCCAAGGGACTAATAATAATAATAAATAATAATAAGTGTCATTCCGTAAATAGTACTGTATCACTGTGTGCTATTTATCAAATAACCAGATATAATATGAGATTAAATTCCACCACAATAAAAAGAAGACTTTGGTATTAAGCAAATAAAGATGATTAATGAAAGAGGTTTGGTTAGTGTTGCATTGAAAGCAGCTACGCGAATCCTCAAGTTTATCTAAAACAATGTGAAGGTGTTTCACATAACCTTGATATGGTTATCGACTAATTAGCTATCAAGTGACAACTGACACCCTCTGATCAGGCTGGAATGTCCGGCGTACTGCATTGACACAGACGAACCAGCGTAGAGTCTTGCACAGAAGTGCATCAGTTCACGTTGCTACTATTCATCGCAACACAAAGCGAAGACATGGGTATGAGAAAAAGGAAAATTAAGTTAACAAAATTTTATCAAAGGAGAGAGTAGAGTAGATTAAAATCAGTAAATGTATTTAAGATTTCAAAGGTAACATCTTAATGGTTTTGACCAATTTCTAGCCATATTATTAAAAACCTTCAAACATTGATTTTTTCTTACCGTGGAGCTCAGCTAGGTTGTCTATACCTCTTTGAGTTACGATCTCCTCAGGAACCAACCTATTAAAGTTGATGCAAATGAAAGAAATCAATTCATTCCACCATTTCATTCTCTTTCAATACGCTAGAATTTAATACGAACCACTCATCAAATACCATATCAAATGTTTGACAGCTGCTAAACGCATATCCGAAATTCCCCGATGTGTTCCTCAGTGTGTCCAGAAAACGATATTGAGAGTTGATATAATTGAGAAAAATTTGATTATTTGATTCCATCTATTCGCCTATTCTTCAAAACTTGTAAACATAATTAAATGTCACAGAAATATTTATTTGGTGTTGGAGCATAGATGATGATGATGGTAACCCTTTGACTGTCGGATGCATTTTATTGATATGTATTTCGAATCTTCACCTGAAACCATGCTATTTTATTATGAAAACAATTTTTTTGCATGGTTCTGATTCGAGAGTATGATACTTTACATTTGAAGAGATACACAAACAATTTCCGAACATAAATGTGACTCCCCCCCCCCCCCAATCACTATATCAAGACAAAACAGGTATGGAGTTGAACGGTTTTGATTTTCTCTCCAAATCAATGGTTATCAGGGCAAAAAGTATGTATGTATGTATGTCTAGGATTAGATTAACCATTCAAAGAGTGAGTTTATGAAACCAGATTTCGAATATTGTCGGTATTCGATATGATTGAAAATCTTTAGTTTATATGCAATTTTCGAGTTGAATTTTAGGCAACTAACAGTATTTTCCAGAAGTTATGTACGCTCAATGTATCTAAAAAATATAAATAAGATTTTTCTGAATAACTATTTTTGTAAGCCATAGTCTTTTCACAGTCATATTTAGAGGTCAAAATCATCCAGAATATTTGTGACAACCGTGGTCTGTGTATTTATAATCATGTTTATTTTAATGAATACGTTGTACACTTTTCACTGGACAGGATAGACTACAGCGTCACCTGATTTTTACATTCTATCATAAACTTTAAGGGACATCCATTTTACACTAATGTTGGACACAAAGATCTCAGTTCATTCTGTTGTATTTGTCCATACCTTAGAAGCTGTAATTCATCTATTTATGTACTCTACACTTCCAACCAGTGCATCACAGGTTTGAACACTATTCCTTCTGTCTAAGCCTCCATAGTTAAGTTGGTTCAGTTGCTCTTACTAAATGGGTGTTTCTCATTAACTAGTATACGAATATTCGCATGTTTGCTGAGTGCTTTTTATTTATTTATTTTTCGACTTCTATATCCTACCAAACATTTGTATTTATACTGGGTGATGATTGAAGGTGAATTGAAAATTTGGACCGCGGCCTGATTCGAAACAGTGACCACCGGGTTTTCGGCTCGATAATCTACTAACTGAACTACGGCGTCTAGCTGATGGCCAGATTTTTATTTCACTTCAATCACCATGGGTTAGACCCGAATACCATCTGAATTCGTGACGCTTTACTATCGCTTGATTGTATTCACACTGGCTACCTAGTCAGAACTTCTCATCCAGATCCAAATCTGAATCAGAGAGGGGGAGCATCATATCACTTTAACTATGTGAGATAGCTGTAGTTTGGCAGACTAGTATTTATATTTGTATTGCAAAATTTGTAAGAATCAGCTTGGTATTTTGCCTAAATCGGCTTTAAATTTCCACAGTGTTCTGTTGTTTTTAGAAACTATAACTCACAAAAATGTGTGTAAAATGTATTCTAATCTACTATTGGGAACATTTTAATGAAATCACTCGTTGAAATTAACTGGCTGTTCTGACTTTATTTTCAACCGTGGAATTTTCCAGACTTTATTTTCTCCTTCTTTGTTTTACCAGTTATTTTGTGGTTCCTGTTCAGCTTATAAAGCACCATTGGGATCATGTGGTGGTAAATATCAGCGTGTGTGTGTAGTGGACTACTACCTAATCAATAAAAACGCTAAACCTCCAACACCAGAAATATTGGAAGCAATATTACGTCGGGCAGACAAAGTAAGCTCCTTTCATTCTTCATCTTTTAGTCATTAGTTGTGTTTATGTTGGTCCTTTCTGCTGAAATATTTTATTTGTCGATTGAGTACTTTATCATCGTAATTATCAAAACAAAAAGTCATTTATTACTGAAACAGCTGTAAACAATTCTTTTTGATGACTATCAAGTTCTCAGTTCTTAAACTGAACTTCACTCCCTTATGTTTACTTTTACCAACTGGTTTTATTCCACTATAGTGATATTTCAAGATTAACTTACCAATTATTTGGAGGTTTATTCTTTGCTATAGTTTTCGAATCACACGTGAAATAGGGCTGAAAACGTGGTAGTCGTCGTCCACAGTAATTCATCTATCTAAATATCTAATCACTGTACCCAGAGTAGATTTTATCTACAACCACCAAAGATAAACGTGTAATTTTTCTCTCTTGCTGTCTATCGTGTGATATTTGAATTTTTTTGGGGGGTGGGGGCGGGGTTTGTGGGGATTTATAGATATTTCAAGTTGAAGTTCATCGTAGGCTGATATCAGTTGGAGGAACAATGGAAACCTGAGAGAACTGGACACCTGTTTTGTCCTAATATGGGACTCCTCAGTAGTGCGCACCAACGACCACAACAGGGGTCGAACCCGCGACCTTCAGGTTCCGTGGCCAGCGCGTTACCATTGAACCACTAAGTCGTAGTCCAATGGTTCATAGGACGAAGCAGGTGTTCAGTGTTCACAGGTTTCCATTCTTCCTCCAACTGATATCAGTCTACGATGAATACCAACTTGAAATATCATGTGATAAACAAGGTTACATTACTTCATAAGTATGATCTGCTTATTTGATGTTGACGCTTAGAATTTGTCATTGAAAATGAATAATATTACTTCACTTGAAGTGGTCAAATATAATTCGAACTGTTCTTGCTTCAATCAACTGGTGCAGTTGGCAATATGTTAAAGTTGGATAAACTAGGCATATGTTTTCTTCCTCTAGCTATTTCGTTATCATCAGGCGGTCTAAGAATTGTGGACCCCAGGAGATAAGTGTCCACCATCATTAGTGGGTGCCACCACACTTGGGGAGGTCTAGTCACCTGATAAGTTAATTATTCCGAAGGTGAAACATATCTGTCATGCCATTATTATTATTATTATTAGTCCCTTGGGTTCCTAGTGGAACATAGGGCTTCAGTAGCACGCCTCCAGTGACCTCTGTTCTCTGAGATCTTTTGAACCTGGTCCCACGACAGCCCACAACCTCTCATTTCCTCCTCGCACGACCTCCTCCATGTCACCCTCAACACCGACGCCCAACTCGTCGCTTCCCATGGGGATTCCACTCGAGCAACTGGCCTGACGCGTGATGTCCTCAGTCGGCCTTCTCAGTGCATGACCAATCCATCTCCACTTCTTCCTGCATATTTGTTGAGTGATAGGTTCTTGGTTGGTTCGTTTCCAGAGCTCCTTGTTGCTTATTCTTATTATTCTGGCCATCTGATCTTCAGTAGAGAGCCAGCGTAAGCAGTTGTTGATGAATGTCTGTAGTTTATTGGAAATCCCTTTCGTGACGCGCCAAGTCTCTGAACCATACAAGAGCACTGACTTGACTGGGTTGGTGTTGAAAATCCGGATGTTGTTCCGCATGCTGAGTGCAGAAGATCTCCACACTGGTTTCAGGCTAATGAACGCCTGTCTTGCTTTTCCGATTCTGACTTTGACATCCTCGTCCGTCCCGCCTGTAGTTGCAACAATGCTTCCTAGATAAGTGAAGGAGGTTACTTCCTTTAAGTTTCTCCCGTTGACGGTGATTGGAGTTTGTTGTTGTTGTTGATGGTGGTGGTGCGGTATCTTCATCACTTCTGTCTTCTCTATATTCACCTGAAGTCCCATCTTCGCTGCCTCTTCTATCAACTTGTTAGTTTTTGCCTGCAGATCTTCAAGTTTATGTGACATTGGGCATAAGTCATCGGCGAAATCCAAGTCTTCTAGGTTCTTTTCCGTCGTCCAGTGTATCCCCCTCTTCTCGCTGCCTACTGTTTGCTGCATGATCCAGTCCACCACAATAAGGAATATCATGGGGGATAGTAGGCAACCTTGTTTCACTCCTGTCTTCACTTCACTTCAAAGGCATCACTGAGCTTCCCATTGTGGATTACTTGGCATGTGGCATCTTCATATAGTTGTTGAATGAGGCTGATAAAGGTTTGCGGTACTCCGTAGTATTGAAGCAGTTTCCAAATTACTTCTCGGTCGACGCTGTCAAAGGCCTTCTCAAAGTCGATGAAGTTGAGGTATAGAGCTGATTGCCATTCTACGCTCTGTTCTATGATGATACGAAGCGTTGCAATTTGGTCAGCACATGATTTGTACTTCCTGAAGCCTGCCTGTTCCGGTCGCAGTTTTGAATCCAGTGCGTCTTTAAGCCTCTCCAGGATGATGCGGCTTAATATTTTGCTTGCACTGGGTGGACAGGAGAGTGATTCCACGCCAGTTCTTGCAAGCACTGAGGTCTCCTTTCTTCGGCAGTTTGACAAGGTAACCCTTCTTCCAATCACTAGCCAGGTGCTTCTCTTCCTTCCACACCTTCTGCAATAGTGGTGTGGTGTGAGCATGTCCGCTGTTGTCTCTGCATCTGTTCTCAGTGCTTCTGGCGGTATTCCATCTGGTCCTGCTGCTTTCCCGCATTTCAGTAGCTTTATGGCATTCAGGACTTCCATTTTCGTTGGGGGATTTATGTTCACTTGTAATTCAGCGGCTGCATGTGGTATTTCTGGACGAAGTGCAGGTGGTGGTCGATTCAAGAGCTTCTTGAAGTGGTCGGCCCATCGTTTCCTTTGTTTCTCTTCTTTCGTAATTAAATTTCCTTCTTCATCTTTTATTGGTTTCATCTGTGTTGATCTCTTCCCTGATAGCAACCTGGTTATTTGATACAATGTTGTCAGGTCTCTCTCACCAACCTGCAGCCTGTTCTGCTTCACTTGCCAGTGTTTCGTAGAAGTGTCTTTTGTCTTTGCGTGCACTCTTCTTCACTTCTTTGTCCAGTGTTTTATACATTGTGCTCAGTTCCTCTTGTCGTTGAGCATCCTTGCACTGTACTGGTTTATCTTCTGCTTCACCATCCTCCTCTCCTCTATCAGCTTCCAGGTATCCGTCGAGATCCATTCCTTGTCTTCTTTCTTCTTCCTTCCTAATACTGTTGTGCAGGTTTCTTTCCACATAGCTTTCAAAGACTTCCAGTGTTCTTCCACACAGGTTTCTTCAGGGATGTTCCTCGATATCTCCCATTTTGTCTTGATGGCTGGCTGCCTGAAGATCTCCTTTGTAGTTTCATCCTTCAGTTTCCGAGTGTTGTACTTGAGTTGAGGTTTATCACCAGCTTCCTTGAAGGCTTTTAACTTGATTTGGAAGGTTCCTTGCACTAGATAGTGGGTGAGTGGTGTGAACCTACATCTGCTCCTCTTCTTGACCTTGTGTTAAGTAGGCTGACTGCGTCTCCATTTTCTTGAGATTGAGATAAAGTCGATTTGATTTTTAGTGTGTCCTGGTGTCTGGTGAAATCCATGTCGCTCGCTTTGTGGATATCTTTGTGCCTGAACACACTGCCTCCAATCACCAAATCGTTGAATGCGCAGAATTCTGCAAACAATTCTCCATTCTCATTCATTTCACCTAGCGCCTCTCGACCCATGGTTAGTTCTCTTCCCGTGTTGTCCCCTCCCAGTTTGGCATTCATGTCGTCCATCAGAATTTTGATATCGCCAACTGACGTCTTGTCTAGCGTTGATTGAAGTTGTCTGTAGAAATCCTCCTTTTTCTCTTGCTCTGCATTATTTGTAGGTGCATAACATTGTATGATTGTGACCTTTCTTCCTTTTGAGTTGAATCTTGCTGTCATGATCCTGGAGGAGATTGGTTCCCACTGCATGAGAGCCTTCGATGCTCTTGAGGACATCATGATAGCCACTCCCTCAGTGTGCTCGTGGTTGGCGTCTGTGTGACAGTATCGGAGTAGATTATTGATTCTCCAGTTGACAGTTTGGAGAGTCCACTCCCATTCCATCTGCTTTCGCAAATCCCAAGCACTTCGATGTTATACCTTCTCATCTCCTTTGCAATCTGGGCTGCCTTACTGGGTTCAAACATCGTGCGGACATTCCATGTCCCCACGTTTACTTTCGCTTTCATCGAGAGAGAGAAGACACATCGGCCCAGGCAATTGGCTTCCCGAAGGCAGGCTTACACCAACTGGCGTCATTTCGCCTCTCCGATTCCAGCGGGGAATAAGTTTGTTTTCAATTTTTACATTTTGTTTGTGCTTTGAAGTTTGTTTAGCAGTTAGATTTGTTTTACGGTGTAGGGTTGCTAGCCCTATGCCCAACCTTCCCTCTTTACCCGGGCTTAGGACCGGCTAGTAACTAGTAAACTAGTTAAAAAAAAAACAAGGCGTCTCATGAATATATTTTGAAGAAGTCTTTTGAACAAGAGGTGGGTTAAAAAGTGTTATCGATCTTTCACAGGTAGGTAGTTTTGTGTTTTTGTCCACATTATTTAATCCTGACCATCAAGGACAATATCGATGTTTTAGTCTCATGGTTATCATATTGTAAGTTTTTAAAAAAATGTGAAACGATTTGGTGAGATTGACTATCAAAATAATTTAGGTGTAATATCATAAGTATCAATAACTTTGACATTCATATGCGTACAGGACCATCTTTTCATTGCTTTTGTATAGTTGACAAAGTTTATGAATTTAATGAGTTCAGTTTCCAGTTATTGAAGTCGAAATCTAAAAGTATTCTAACGAACAAAGATCAGAAAAAATGGAGCCTACTCTTTAGAGATGTAAGGTTTTGCTAAAAGCTAACAATGTATCCTTTCTTCTTATAATATCTTGACTTGATTGTACATTAAACCGCATTCATATCGTTAATGCATGATTTCCAAGAATCAGCTGCCTAAGGATAGTGATAAATGGCGTTGGTCTACATATTTCGAGTATCTTTC